AGTGTGTGCAGTGTCTAATAGTGGACAGCCAAGGGATCGTTTAAACACACCACTGATCATGATTAATAGGCTTGGTTTAATGTATGCCCTTTGAGGATTTTTTTTTTTTTTTTCTCATAGAGAACACATTTCAATACATATGGCCTTTATCTTCATAATTTCTCCTTTTTAAGTGGTAAAATAATGACAATGGTTGCATACATATATTGTAAAGTCATCAAAGAAACAGCTGTGGGTCGTGGTCTGGATGCTTTCTCCACTGACTTGGGATTCCTGTCCCCCCGTCATCGTGTACAATTGAGTAGGCTCCCAAAGGCTTGGACTCCCAGGGAGGGGCACTTAGTATGCAGCTGGTCTCTCCCCACTGATGCCCACCTGCTGAAGTCAGTGACATTCCACACATTTGTTTCAGCAGGAGAACTGCCACATGCTGCTCCCACAATCTGGACAAACAGATTTTTTTTTTAAGCATCAGCACCATCTTCCCACCACTAACAACATAGGAGCAGTTCTGGAGAAAAACCAGGAAGAGTCATTGAGCGGGAAGAATTTCAGCCTTTATATGACCAGGCTTAGAAAATGTGGCCATAGGACATGGAACTAACCTCATCACAGAGGGTTTGCTTTGCAAAGGAAATTCAAATAGCTGACTTCAGCCTCACTGGCTTGGAAGATAGCATGCTTTTTTATCCATTGGTCTTTAAATTATTTAAATAAAATCTTATAAAAATGATTTTGAATCATCAAATCGATTTTGTTTTCAGAAAAAAAAAAACTCCTCAAGATTTGATATATAGCCATTCGTCATTCTTTTCCAAATACTGCTATCTAAACTGAAGATAGAATGCTTTCTTTTAGATTTGGCTGGCAAGTCATGTGTAATTTTAAATGCTGAATGTTATCTAAGCATGGAATGCATTGGTACTTAGGAACTACCAGTTCCAATTCCAGCCAAGGTAATATTTTGAATTTCTCTTCAAATCACATATATTTGACATTTTAGTGGTATAATTATTCTTTACTAATCAGAGTTTCTTACCTTGACTTTATATGCTCAAGTTGGGTCTATACTGTTTAGAATTACACATTGCAAGTGATGTTATTGATTAATTAGCATTAATCCTTCAGTTCTGTCATTTCACAGATGAAAACATTGAGATGGAGACCAGGTCAGGTCTTGAACTAGATCACACATCTGGCTTGCCAGGAGCCATGACTTGAATCCTGGTCTTCCAATTTCTAATCCACTACTCTTTGCCTAAGGCATTTGACTGTTCACCAGAAGGCTGGTGGTTCAAACCCACCAGCCTTGGAAGGAAGATTGGGCAATCTACTTCTGTAGTGATAGTGCCTCGAAAACCCAAGGAGGGGTCG